CTCACCTGCCATCTGCACAGTGCAAACACACCAAGAAAGTGTCCACAACCATGCCCCCCTCCCTGCGATCAGTAATGTTCTGAAAGCAGCATTGTTGATCATGGGGAGGGGCGTACTTCCTCCACCAATCACATTGTGCAGACAACTTGGTGACTGCACAGAGGAGGCGAGTAGGATTGCCAGATTTGGGTTGGCAAATACCTACAGAATTTTGGGGTGGAGCCTGAGGAGTGCACAGTTTGGGGGGAGGGGAAGGCTTCAATAGTGTGCAATGCCACAAAGTCCACCTTCCAAGCCAGCCCTTTTCTCCAGGTGAACTGATCTCTGTTGCCTGGAGATCAGTTGTAAAAGCAGGAGATCTCCAGTCACCACCTGGAAGCTGGCAACTCTAGTGGGGGGTGGGGCCGGTGTGCTCATGCCTGCTCTTCCCACCTGCACAATGAGTGAATGTGTGGATGGGTTATATGGACATGGCTAAAAAGACCTGTTGAAGCTACCAGAGTCTCCTAGGGACTGGCCACAGAGCAGGATGGAGGGGTGCACTGTAAACAGAGTAGGTAAGCTCATCCTCCGCCCAGAACACCTCAAAAAATACCATATTCATGGAAGAGAACTTTACCCCTTCCTGCAGTTTATATCTCTGCCATCTTTCCTCATGACAGAAAATTGTTAAGTGCCTGGAGAGCATGTGCAGGGATAAGGGGGCATTCTGCATGTTTTACCCACTTTGGCTTTTAAAACTGGACCCTATCCCTCTCTTTCTACCTCATGTTCATAAAGTCTTCCTGTAAAAGTTCTCCTTTGCCTACCCTCTTCCTCATTTTCTGGGTAAATGCTACAAGCATGGACAGCTTCAAAAGGGAATTAGATAAGCATATGGAGCAGAGGTCCATCAGTGGCTATTAGCCACAAGGTATAGATAGGGGCTCTAGGGCAAGTGATGCTCTGTCTTCTTGGTGCTTGGGGGGGTCAACAGTTGGAGGGCTTCTAATGTCCTGGCCCCACTGGTGGACCTCCTGATAGCACTGGTATTTCTGGCCAGTGTGTGACACAGAGTGTTGGACTGGATGGGCCTTTGGCCTGATCCAACATTGGCGTCTCTTATGTTCTTATGTAGATCCCTGGCCATAAAGGGCTTTAAAGGTAAGAACCAGCACCTTAAAGCGAACTCGGTATGCTATCGGTAGCCAGTGCAATGCCTTCAGCACAGGCTGAATGTGCTCCCGCATTGGGAGGCCCATTAACAGCCTGGCTGCAGTATTTTGCACTAATGCAGATAGTAGTGAGGAGGGGATGCCTATTCTTATTTCCTCATGCAATAGACAATAGATATAACCATAAATTTACAAAGACTGAGGTCTTGCTCCTGCTAAGATATTAGCGGAATCTGTGGAATATGGAACATTGGACATGTCTGCCAGTGTCCATAGTGCAAACATCAACCAATTGGTTTAAGCATGATAAGGAGCTATTCATTGCACTGAATCTGAGAGGGAAAACTCCATAAAAGCACACTTTCAAATTGGACACTGTGAAATTGGGTAGAATCCTTAGGTCCTTACTCTAACTGCTGCCTTCACACATTTGTTTCTCACTGTTTCAAGTTCAATTTCTTGACTTCTCTAGATGAGTCACAAGTCCAGATATGGGGGTAGAGGAAGTCCAAAAAACAGGATTTAGATTCTGTTCCAGAAAAAGGAAAACAAGTTTTCCAAAAACTAGTACAGCATGTGTCACATACAGAAGTGATAACATGTAACCACAGATGTAGTAAGACAATTACCACGCCCTCCTTGAACAAATTTACAAGCAAAGGCAGAAGACAGTGGTAATCCAATCATGCATCTTCCAGTCTGACCCCCAATACCCTGCAGTTCCCAGTCATATTAGAAAAAGTATAAAGTGTACCAATAAACACACTCAGGATTAGAATATACAAGAGTGGATTCTGGCACCATTCTGTGTTTGATTTCAGTACCAAGAGGGACTGATATTTACATTCCTTTCTTGACAATGCACAGACACTGATGAAACATACAGATATGTTGCTAGACTTACTTCCATTTACCAGGTTAAAAGTCAGTACTGTAATATTTACTCAGTAAAACAAACACTGCCTTGTGTACGCTAGATGGTAAATCTATTTAAACATAGGAAATTGGTAGCAACTTGAACAGGACCCCTATTTAGGCCTGTCATGGTGAAGAATCTGTAACGTGATTTTCAAGCATTATTCTTGGACAGTGGACTTCTTTTGAACTTGTCTTCACTTGCTTAGATGTGATCTACTATTTCTTAAGGACCTTTCAAGCAATAAAAAAGGCTATTCTCTACAACTCCACCACCACTGCAGTATTCCCACGTAACTGGGAGATGGAGTGGGGAATATTTTGCTTCCTCCAAAGAAAGACTCCAGGAGAAAGATGCACTTCAGTAATCGAGGGGAAGCACAAAGCCTTCAAAGAAACAAGATCTATTAAATGGTACAATAGTTTCTCTTGGCATTTGCTGCTTTAAGAACTATATTACCACATCTCTGTTGGCTAGGGCGGCCAGATCCCCTTGTTGCTCTGGCGGGGGGATTTGGGGGGTGTTCCGTGGGTGGGCAAGGTGCCCCAAATGCCACCCCAAGCCCCACCCCAACAGTGACCACCCACCTGGCCACCCCTCTCCCATGCCTCCTGCTAGATTTAAAGGGCCCTCCAACTGGTCGGCAGGCCATGTGGCCCCCACTGATCAGCTGAAGCCCTTTAAATTGGGCAGGAGGGGAGGGAGAGGGGTGGCCGGGCAGGTGGTCACTCTTGGGGACAGGGCTTGAGGGTGGGGCTTCCTCCACCAGTGAGAGACAGATTGAAGCCCCCAGAAGTGGGGGGACCCCCACCCAAACCTGGGGGCTGGCAACTCTGCTGTTGGCTTTGGCCTTGTTTTAACTTTGTTATTTTTAAGTACATTGTTAGCCACTTTCTGAGTTCAATAAATATTAAATTCCCAAGATGACAAAAACATGCAATCTAAACTTCATCATTCTTATGGGGGGCAGGGAGTATTTAATATCTAAAGAAAAAATACTATATGCTTAGAGGAGCCGGGGTGTTGATCGTCCACCCAACAGCAATAACATGATAGTATTTATGCAAACATATTCCATGTACATTCACTATTGCACTAAATGAGAGAAAAAATTCTTGCAGGTGACAAATGCAGCTGTTAAGAGTGCACATTAGTTCTGCGATAGGACCTGTCTTGAGTCATGGGAAATGGTCCATAATTCAACCAAGCATATGCTTGGCATACTAAACTTGCAGTTTAATTGCCAACATCTTCAGTTTAAAGATACTTGAAAGCCACTCCCAGAGTACTGGGATAGATAGATCGATGGGAGCTGGATCCTGGAGAAGATTTCTGTGGACAGAAGATGGGGCACGTTTTGCTGATTCCCCTCCCTCCTCCCATTACAGGTGTCTGATTCCCTTTTCAGCCTGTTCCTGAAGGTCCCCTGTCCCTGGCATTGCCAGCCTCCAGGCAGGGCCTGGAGATCTCCCAGGATTACAACTGATCAGCAGGCAACAGAGGTCAGTTCCCCTGGAGAAAATGGCTGCTATGGACAGTGAACTCTATGGCATTATATCCCACTGAGGTCCCTCCCCTCTCCAAACCCCTCCCTCCTGAGGCTCCACCCTCCAAAATCTCCAGGTGTTTCCTAACCCTCAGTGGGCAATCCTATCTGTGATTTAGAAGCAGCATTTCAGGGGGCATTTGGGGCTGTAGTGGGAGCAGAGGAAAGAAAGTAAAGCTTTGCTGATGAAAATCCTTCAATCACCAGACATCTTTAGGAGAATCCAAGTCATAGTCTGATGCCATTTTGGGGGTTTTTTTGCCATCAAGTCACAGCCAACTTATGGCTAAAGCATAGGGTTTTCAAGGCAAGAGACATTCAGATGTGGTTTGCCATTGGATGCGTCTGCATAGTAAGCCAAGATTTCCTTGGTGGTCTCCCATCGAAGTAGTAACTAGGACTGACCCTGCTTAGCTTCCGAGATCTGATGAGACTGAGCTATCCTGGACTATCCAGGTCTGAGCATATATTCAGTACAAGCTCCATAAATTCAGTAGAGTATATCAATTGTGCTCTATGGCATTATAGCCCACTGGAAAGGAGAAAGAGAAAATGTTCTGTAATCTACCCTAGAAAGTGTTTTATCATGTCCTGAAGATTTGTCACATCTGAGGCCACCCAGAGGGGATATTTGTAAGAAAAACTCCACTCTGTCTCTCATCAGTGAATCTAGTAACCTGCTGAATAATAATGCAAAATGGTTTGACTATTTCAGCCTACTCTGTTCCTTCAGCATTAATGATGTTAATGTCAGTGCCATTTTTGATTGGGTTTGTTTTGTTTGGCATTCCCTCAGTGATCCCTCCTTTCGAACCAATGTTTTAATTGCTGGTTTTATGTTTTCATAGGTATTTTAACTCTGTTTTAATGTTGTCTCTCTGTAGGGGGGATAATTTTAATGGTTTTAAAATGCAATTTTATCATGTGTTTTAATTTTTTAGCTGCCTTGGTGGCCCTTCTGAGGGCAGAAAGTAGAGTTACAATTCCCTACTTTGGGGCAGGGGATTCTCTGCTTTTGCAGGCTCCTGCCTGCCACTGGCCACAGGGATTCCCCCCCCCCCAAGAGCAATGTGAAATGACATAGGCACATCAGTGACGTCGGGGGTGTGTGTGATGCTCTGGTTCTTGGGCAAAAAGCGCTATGGTTTGAGGGAGATTTTACTGTAGAGTTTTGCCCAAAACCAGAGCATCACCCCCTGATGTGCCTACATCACTTCCGGGTGATGTGGGATGTCACTTCCAGTGATGTTGGCATGTCGGAGGTGATGCTACTGGCTCCCAGAGTGTCCCCCTCCCATCCCCCACCAGCATCTCGAAGAGACCTGGCAACCCTAGCAAAAAAGCAGGATATACATTTTGTAAATAAAATAAATAAAATGCTTACTGCGGTACAAAAGATGCAGCTGCAGTCTTGCAGAGTTGTCATCTTATCCAGTGAATATTCACATAGGCACAATTTGCACATGACCAAAGGTTCCAAGGATAATTCTCCAACTTCTGAAATCCCATCCATCATGGTATGATAACAGATCTTTCCAACAGAGGCCATCAACACAATCAGACCCACCAGTTCTGAAAAAAATGTAAATAAGAGATGGTATACTACCACAACTAATGTTGTTAGCCAACTGTTACCCCTGCTTAAAATTCTGGCATCTAGAAGGAGATGCACTGGAAGGGGCTGATATTAATTCTGTTCGGGTTTACCCCTCAACATAGTTTGCTGATTACATCACCTCTGGCTGACTTAGGTATGTTTAGCGAGCATTAAAATACACCTATGTACCGTCCTTACACTAGAGGATAACCCATATTAACTCGCTAAAAATAACACTTTGTTAGAGGTCACTGCAAAGTCCAGTACTATTTACTATATTTAATTATCTGAATGTGATACCTCTGAAATCATATATCAGATTTTCTGGGCAGTACAACTGAGAAGGACTGAAAATTTCCAAGGTATGGTTTGAATGCATGTGACACAGCAACCTTGCTGAAGCTAAGCAAATTTGGATCTTGTCTGGACAGGGGACCTCCTAGAACCCTATGTATGCCACTATGAGTTCCACAAACCAAAGAAATTGGGATATGGAAGTTGGAGCAGAGCCTCCTGGCTCTATGCAGCATGTGTGAGTGAGCCCCAGGCTTCTACATGTCCAATCCACTATCATCTGGCCCTCATTTCTACTGGATTGATCCAAATTCAAGAGCATAAGAACATAAGAGACGTCAATGTTGGATCAGGCCAAAGGCCCATCCAGTCCAACACTCTGTGTCACACACTGGCCAGAAATACCAGGTGCCATCAGGAGGTTCACCAGTGGGGCCAGGACATTAGAAGCCCTCCAACTGTTGACCCCCCCAAGCACTAAGAAGACAGAGCATCACTTGCCCTAGAGCTCCTATCTGTACCTTGTGGCTAATAGCCACTGATGGACCTCTGCTCCATATGCTTATCTAATTCCCTTTTGAAGCCGGGAATTCCATGCTTATAGCCGCCACCACCTCCTGTGGCAGTGAATTCCATGTGTTAATCACTCTTTGGGTGAAGAAGTACTTCCTTTTATCTGTTCTAACCCGACCGCTAAGCAATTTCATGGAGTGCCCACGAGTTCTTGTATTGGGAGAAAGGGAGAAAAGTACCTCTTTCTCTACCTGCTCTATCCCATGCATAATCTTATAAACCTCAATCATGTCTCCCCTCAGTCGTTGTTTCTCCAAGCTAAAGAGCCCTAAGCGCTTTAACCTTTCCTCCTAGGGAAAGTGTTCCAACCCTTTTATCATTCGAGTTGCCCTTTTCTGCACTTTTTCCAAAGCTATAATATCCTTTTTAAGGTGTGGTGACCAGAACTGCACACAGTATTCCAAATGAGGTCGCACCATTGATTTATATAGGGGCATTATGATATTGGCCGATCTGTTTTCGATACCCTTCCTAATAATCCCCAGCATAGCATTGGCCTTTTTTATTGCAGTCACACACTGTCTCGACATTTTCAGTGAGTTATCTACTACAACTCCAAGATCTCTCTCTTGATCAGTCTCTGCCAGTTCAGACCCCATCAACGTGTATTTAGGATTTTTGGCTCCAATGTGCATCATCTTGCACTTGGCCACATTGAACCCCATTTGCCATGTTGACGCCCACTCGCCCATCCTTGACAGATCCCTTTGGAGTGCCTCACAATCCTCACTGGTTTTCACCATCCTGAACAACTTCGTATCATCCGCAAATTTAGCCACTTCACTGCTTACTCCCAACTCCAAATCGTTAATGAACAAGTTAAAAAGCAGTGGACCAAGTACTGATCCCTGCGGTACCCCACTGCTTACCACTGAACACTAACAGGTTAGTGAGACAAGATCTTCCCTTACAGAACCCATGCTGACTCTGTGTCAATAGGTTTTGTTCATCTATGTGCCTACTAATTCTTTCTTTAATAATGGTTTCCACCAATTTACCCGGTATCGACGTCAGACTGACTGGCATCATATGTTTTTTCATCTTTGGCATACTTTAAGGCTGTTTGGACTAATTTCAAGCCGGCAAGAGGAAGAAACAATATCTAAAAGGCCTCAGAAGCTGCACAGGCTAATCCAAAATGGCTGCCAACCTCAGCAAAGAGTCCACAGTTTCTACTGTCCCTGCTACTGAGTCTAATGGAGAGATTGCTCTCTCTACAGCTACTGTTCCACTGGTTGTGGCCCTCTTAAGAGAGAAACTGGACACCCAATAGGGTTGCCAGACCCCCCGGTTTGGTGGGGGTTACCTGCTTTTGAGCAGGTTCTACCCACCACCAGGCCAGCAGGGAAAGACCCGCCCCCAAGCCCCAACACCCACAGCCACCCCTCTCCCTTCTCTCTTGAGAGAGAGGAAGGAGATTGGGCATGCAGGGCCCTGTCCCACCGGCTGCATGCACTTAAAGGGGTCCCTTTAAGTGCACACAGCTGGTTGGACTGTCCTCGTGGGGACGTCATCACATTGGGGACACTCCACCGCCTCCGGGAATGCCCCCCAAAGTCCCCCGCAAGGGACGAAGATGGACTTGGCAACCCTAATACCCTCACTGTCAAATCCTAAACTAATGAACTGAAATCTCTTCAGAAGCAAACATCTGAACAACTTACAAATATAGAAATCAGAATCTCCAGCCTAGAAGATACCTCTACCACCACAGCGAGCATTGCCAGTCTACAGGTAGTGGCTGGAGATCTCCTAGTATTACAACTGGCCTTAGGGTTGCCAGGGCCAACCTGACAGCGGGCGGGAGGATCGTTGTTCCTTTCTGGGATTTTCTGCTGCATGCGCTTTGCATGTGCAATGCAATGACATCACCTGGAAGTGACGTCATTGCGTTGCCAATGTTGGGGAGTGATGTTCTAGGTTTTTTGGCAAAATTCTATGTTTTTTGCCTCCAAAACCATAGAGTTTGCACAAAAATTAGAGCATCACCTCCCAAAATTTGTGATGTGATGATGTCACTTCCGGGTGACATCATCGTGTCAGGCACACTGTGCAGCAACATCCCTGTTTGAGGGTGGTGTTTCTCCCAACAGCCAGCTGACTGGAGGTGGATCAAAGCCCTCAAAAGCGGGGGAACCCCAGCTGGGACCTGTTGTATGTTGTTGATCTGCTAACTTCTCTTTTAGTGCTTTCTTTATTCCATATTGGTTGGGCCTGCTGACGGGCATGGGAGCCTCAGACACAAATGGGTGCATTTGTTCTAACTCTTTAAGATGTTCTTGGTTTCTTTCTCCTTATGGCTCTGTTTTTCTTCTACTGTTTCTTGTCACTGTTTTTTTCCTCCCTCTCTCTCCTTTCCTATCTCCTACCTTTCCCCAAAACTAAGAGGCAGCAGATGGAGATTGGAACTCCCCTAAATGGGGCTGGTAAGGTGTATTTTTGCTTACTGATGTTTACAGATGCATCTGCTACACAGCTCCTGTTTCTAAATTATGCCTAAGATAATCGTATAATGGAATGCCAAGGGTCTTTGGAACACAAATAAGTGCAAACAAATAAATACTATATAATCTTAGAAGACAACATGCTTGCATTGCCGTGCTCCAAGAGACTCATGTATCTCACAGAGAATAAGAGTGGCTTACTAAGGGATGGGTGGGAGAGGCCTACTATTCTGGGAACTCTGGTAAGGCTAGAGGAGTTGCAATTCTATCACGTTTGTTTATTTATTTATTTATTTATTTATTTTTACATAGCCCTCGCTCCCCCATGGACAGGGCTCAGGGAGGGGAACAACATTCCATATAACATTTGCAATCGAGTTAAAAATTTAAAACATACAGAATTAAAATAAACTTAACAATTTTAACAAGTTCACTGACAATTTACAGATGGGGCTTAAACAGGCAATTTAGTGTCCTTTCTCCGTGACGGAAGAGGAAGAATGGAGCCAGGCTGGATGGGGAGAAACCCACTGCACTCCTCAATCATAGGCCTGGCGGAACATCTCTGTCTTAAAAGCCCTGTGGAACCTAATGCAGATATAATTCGGCAGAGAGTTCCATTAGGCCAGCACCAGGGCTGAAAAAGTCCTGGTTCTGCTTGAGGTCAGCTGGATGCTTTTGGGGCCACATGGATGTACTTGATTCTAGAGCAGACACTGAAGGAAGATATATTTTCCTTGGTTAAACAGGAAAAACTCACATTTGCGCTGGGCAACATCTATGAGCCTAAGATGACCCCTTTTTTCCCTCTCTGCTCTGGCAGCTCTCAGAGAATTTGGGGATTATCCAGTGATCAGGGTAGACAACAGTGGTAGGGGTTTCCTTACCCCAAGTTGCTCTAGATCAGGCCTGCAAGGCGATATGCTTGATGCAGGTTTCCATGCTGCATGGCACGTACTACACCACTTAGACACAGGCTATACATACGTTTCTCAGACTCACAGAGTCAAATCTTGACTGGACTATTTTCTTCTCAGTGGCCCCCTGCTGTCTCAAGTGTTTTCTAGCTCCATTGGTGAGTGTGTTATTTCCGACCAATCCCCTGTTTCATTGATAGTCTGGGAGATGCTGAAAAGAAATCTCCCTTATAGAGATTCAACACATCCCTACTCCATGACAAAGCCTTTAAAAAGGGAACAGAGCTTCATATGAAAGACCTCCTGTCTACCAGTTTTACACGTCAGGTCACCTGGCCTGTTTTGTGGGATGCTCTTAAAGCATACTTAAGCGGCTTTAGCACTGCTTACGCCTCTCACAAAAAACGCAAAGTGTTGAAGAGCTGAATAAGCTAGAAACTAAACTGCAGGATGCCACAATCTATTTTAATTTCACTCCTACTTCTGAGAATTAGAATAACATGCTGAAACTCAGATACGAAAATAACTAATCACCTTCATTGCAAGCTGAATTTATGTTGGTCTGTATCTGAACATATAGGCGTTAAGTTCGTGGGGGCGGCGGGGCATCAGCTGTCCCCAAAATTTTCAGGAAGGGGCTCAGCCTCCCCCGGGGGCAATTGGTTCCAGCCACCCTTGCCTCCCCATTCTGAAACTATGTTCAGCGGCTGGGTTGGGACCGGGAGAGAGGGAAGTTAGGGTGGGGGCT